CCCCCTGCCCCCATCCCCTGCCACCACTGCTACCAGCTCTGCCACCATCCCCACTGCCACCAGCACTGTCACCATCCCCACTGCCACCATCCCCACTGCCACCAGCACTGCCACCATCCACTGTCACCACTGCCAGCAGCTCTGCCACCATCCCCACTGCCACCATCCCCTGCCACCAGCACTGCCACCAGCACTGCCACCATCCCCACTGTCACCAGCACTGTCACCATCCCCACTGTCACCACTGCCACTGTCACTGTCACCAGCACTGTCACCATCCCCACTGTCACCACTGCCAGCAGCGCTGCCACCATCCCTACTGCCACCATCCCCATTGCCACCACCACCACTGCCACCACTGCCCCATCTCCACTGCCCCCACTGTCACCAGCACTGCCACCACTGCCACCATCCGCTGCCACCAGTGTCACCACCAGCACCGTCCCAGCATGGTGGAACTGGCCGTGTGTCACCACCGCTGTGACCATCTCCACCACCCAGTGCCACCTCTGCTGCTGTCACCACTGCCACCACTGCCACCCCCACTGCCACCACCAGCAGCATTGTCACCACTGTCACACCTCCCCATCATCACTGTCACCACCACCACAGCTCTCACCAGTGCCACCGCCATCACCACAGCCACCATTGTCACTGCCACCACTGTCCCCACTGCCACCATCGCCACTGTCACCACTATTGCCGCTGTCCCCACTGCCACCATCACTGTCACCACCAGTGCCACCAGCGTCACCGTCCCCACTGCCACCATCATCAACACCACCACCAGTGCCATCACCACCACCAAGACCACCAGTGCCACCACCACCAGTGCCACTACTGTCACCATCCCTGTCACCAGTGCCACCATGACAACCACCAGTGCCACCACTGTCACCATCCCCACTGCCACCGCTGTCACCAGTGCCACCATGGCGACCACCAGTGTCACCACCATCAGTGCCACCACTGTCACCGTCCCCATGGCCACCAGTGCCACCATGACAACCATTGGTGCCACCACCACCAGTGCCACCACTGTCACTGCTACCAGTACCACCAGTGCCACCATGACAACCACCAGTGCCACCATCACCACTGCCACCAGTGCCACCCCCACCAGTGCCACCACTGTCACCGTCCCCACTGCCACCAGTACCACCAGTACCACCAGT